CGTTTTCCTGATCGTCCCCCACGTGTTCTCCGAAAGCTTTTCGAACCGATTCCGGGAACACATGGTCCGATAGCTTGGCAGGGCCCTGGCCACAAACGTTCAGCCATATAGGTGCTTCCACAAGGGCAGGGGGCGGCGGTGACTCGCCGTATGCGTGTTCGATAACGCCAACGTCTCAGTATGCGCTGATGATTCCTATCCGCCCCCGCATGATGGTCCCGGATGCACCAGCGCAGCGCCGAGACGCACCGACGCGACTCTGATGTGTCCCATTCGGATAGGGGGGGGGCCGGCGGCAGGGGGCGAAGCCCTACGTATAAAAGAATCAAGCAGTACCAAGCACTAGTCAAAACAGCACGAGGCATCGTCGCTGGACTATTCTCTTGACCATTCTTGAGCAATCCCGGCTCGATCGCAAATGCCGCCAGCAGCCCGCGTCCTGCGGCACGCCGCCGAGGCCTTCCGCGCGGCCCCGCCGCGCGGCGGCGGCGGGGGTGCGGCGGGGCTCTCCGCCGCCGGGGCGCCGGCGGGCGCGCCTCGGCCGGGTGGGGGCGGGCGGCTGCGGCGGGCGGTCGCCGAGGGTCTGATTGACCCAGAGAGGGGGTTCGGTTGAAGGAGGGTGGTGCAACAGGTTTGGGTAATGCATTTGCGCACCGGAATGTATTGCACGCCCCCAATCTGTTGCAACCCCACACGTCTATTGCACCACCCCCCTTGTCGCTGGACCGACCCCCTTATGCGTCAACCAGAGAGGAACTTCCGATGGCCCCGTGTGGAAACAAGCAAGGCAATGCATGTCGGGGGGTCTGAGGAGGTTCTCCGGACTTTTCCCCAATCGCCTATTGACCGCCGATAGGAGCCCGATAGCCCACCCCGTCAAGGTCGGACATGCGACGGAGGTGGTCCGACGTGTCAAACAACAACTTTCTCGTAGTTTTCGGCCTCTGGAGGCCATCGCGGGGCCCCACGGCCGTCGCAAACGATTCGGGATTGAAAACGGGCCCCTACGGGACTTCTGGAAGCCCCGTATGCGAACCAGCAGGGCATCGGATGTCTGGGGGCGGAGGCGCTCCGACGCTGACGGCGGCGTCGACGGCGGCGGCCTCTGGCGGCGTTGACGGCGGCGCTGGCGGCGGGCGGCGCGGGGCTCCGGGGATCGCGGGGAGGTCTCGGGGGCAGTGCTGGGAGGGGCACACCCTGAGATCCTGGCAGCTCAGTTGCCTCGGGCCGGGCGTTGTCGCCCAGTCTCGTGCCCAGGGGCCCTCACGGATCGATCCGGCTCGAACAATGGCGCAGAGAGATGGGGTCGAGGGCTCTGGTCGCTTCGTCGGATCTCAAAGTGCAAGATCGCTATGCCGGATCTCGACGTATGAGGCTCGGAGTTTTCAGGTTTTCGGGCGTTTTCGTTGGTTCTCGGCGGCTTTCTGGCCTCGGGCCTCGCTCGGCTGGGGCGGTTGATTCGGACATTCGAACCCCTCGCGTCGCGAAAAAATCTCGGCGGAATGGTTCTTGGCGGTTTTCGGCCACTCGTGGCCGTCGCTGGGCCGTGGGACCGTCAAAACTCTCGGGATGATAAGCCGGTCCCCGTGCAGGGGTCCAGAGCTCTGGAGGTCCAGGTTGTGAACAAAACATGGCGTCGGGGGCCTGGGACTGTACAACTACGCCGATACTGGCCAGCCCCCCGTCGTGGGCCCAGGATCGGCCTAATCAGCGCAGGTGTATTGGTACCCTCCGATCGAGGGGTCGGGCTGCCCGGGGTCGGTGGTGGTGGAACTCCGCTGCGGCCAGTGTCGGGTGGTCGTGGGAGGAGGCGTCGCTCGCAACCCGCGGCATGCCCCACGGCTGAGAGGGCGCCAACAAAGCCTGGGGATCGGAGAAGGGCGAACCCGGAGTCTCTCCACTCTCCGCGCGGTCCGACCGGATACTGCGGACCGAAATGTCGTTGTTTGTCTAGGTTTGTCGGTGCTTGCCTGTGCTTGTTGTCGGCAGGAGGAGGAAGCGGAGCCCTATATAGTTGTGCTTTCGTCCCGTTCCGTCGCTCCTCCTCCCGCAGGTGAACTACTAGTCATCTCCTGCGCTTCCCCCCAAAAAACTAAGAGGCGTCCCGGATGGGGTCGGAATAGATGGGGTCGGAGGATCGCGCCGCATCGCCCGTGCATCGCCGATGCGGCTCGATGTGGGGCGGACCCAAGAATAGAGGAAGAAAAGTACACATAAACATAAACTTTCGACGGCCCGCGCAGATTTCTTGTTTGCGCTGCGCGCCAGGGGCGGCGCCGGAGGCGCCGCCAGGGAGCCCCAGCGCGGATCCGAGAAATCCGCGCGGAGTGCCGAAAGTTGATGTTTATGTGTTGTTCTCGTCCTCGACAGAAGTCCGCGCGGAGCGTCGAAAAGTTGTGTTGGTGCCGCTTTTTCTTCCCTCGACCGTCAGCGCCGACCCCGTCGTGGGCCCCGAGCCCCGCGCCGTCCGCCGCCGCCGGCGCGCCGGCGGGGCCGGGCGAGCGCTCGCGGGGCGGCGTGGGCGGGCCGTCGTCCTGCGGGCGGATTCCTTCTGCGGCCGCTGCCCTGCTGCGGCGTGGCGCCAACATCGCAGAGCGGGTTTCGCTCGGAAGACAACGGGATGGACCTGGATTTTCCCGGAGAACTGCGCGTCGGATTTCGACATGAATTTCTGGCTGATTTTGTTTGGCCAGTAATGAAGACCACAAGAGATCCGCGTGGAATTCCCTTGTATTTCGCTCGCCGCTTCGGGGGTTTCGTACTGACAGAAACCCACGCAAAAATCCGCTGCAGCACGTCTGCAAGGTCGGTGGGCTCTGTCCACGACGACAAGGCCAGACAAGCTCGCGTCGAGAAACGTACACCCTGGCAACGAACCCCAGGATAGCAGCAGAGGCGAAGGCGCGGGTCGAGGAGTAGGAGGTCGGCCATGGGGACCGGGGTGAGAGCACGGCCACGTGCACCTCGGTGCAGTTTCCGTGAAGGCGTGGCCGTCCGGACCAAACAGGTCGCTGGCATTGAGGCGAGAGCACGGCCATGTGCACCGTGGTGTATTCCTCACACTCCTGTAGTGTTGGGTCTTCGTTTTGGAGAGACAGCACCCCGCGTTCCTCCTCCTCGTCCTCCTCCTCCTCTTCCTTCTCCGCTTACACCTCCTCCTCCTCCTCCTCTTCCTCTTCCTCTTCCTCTTCCTCCTCCTCCTCCTCCCATTCCTGCCTCTACCCTTCACATCACTCAAACATTTCGGCACACCCCTCACACGTGAGCTCCACCGAAGGCCCAAGCGGCAGGGTCCACATGGCGCCGCCGCCCCATTTTGGCGCACCCCTCACATGGTTCGTGGTCCCATAGGGAGCTCCACCGAAGGCCCCAGCAGCAGGGTCCACCTGGCGACGCCGCCCGATTTTGGCGCACTTTTCACACGGTTCGTGTCCCCATAGGGAGTTCCACCGAAGATCTCAGTGGCAGGGTTCGCGTGGCGGCGCCGCCCCATTTTGGCGCGTCGCTCACACGGTTCGTGGCCTCCTGTGGAGCTCCACCGAAAGCGGTGCCAAAATACATTACTCACAACTGTGTACGGCTGGGTCCGTCGCCAGGATAATTGCGGTAAAGGCATCGCGGCCGTCCGGACCAAAGAACGCAGCCTGCATTGAAGCGAGAACATGGTTCCTGAATCACTTCTGAAGAAGTCGCAGTCGAAACGGCGGCCGGACCGGGCGGTGCAGGGCTCCCCGTCACCCTGTAGGGCGGGACTCTGCGTGGCGCTGCTGCCCTGTGGGGACACCTTCTGGCGAAACGCTGTCAGGGACGACGCGACTGAATGTTCTTGTCAGTTTTCGGCATCCGCGGGGAACCTCGCCGGGCCCCACGGCTGTCGAAAAACTACTCGGGGTAAAAAACTGGCCATGGGGAAAGGAGAATCAGAGTGAGGGGACCGAACGCTCAATCACTGTCCCTGGGCGCCCGGCTGAAGTACGATTCCCCGGTGAGGATGGTTGTTGCGTTTCTGTTGAGCCCTCACCTTTGCAAATAGGAAATGTTGATCCCCCCCATTGGTGGACATGGTGTTGTTCAATTGAAGTGCTCCCATCATCGGGGCTCGCACCCTGTTTATCATGGGAAATATGTGTGCTCAAACTGCTTCGTTCGGCCCCGAACAACAACAATGACAACAACGGCTCCTGCCCAGTACTCCATCACAATTAATTCCCAAATCGCGCTCTCGCGTGGAACATCCTTACACTTGATGCAGGACGCCGCGCCTTCGACACTCAAGGATTTCCGCTCTCGCGTTGGCCATTCTCGCGATTGACTTGGGGATCGCGCTATCGCTCGAGCTTTCTTCGCGATTCATGCACGGCGAACGCTTGAGCACCTCGCCTGCTCGACCTGCCCCCCTGGGCCCGCCCTCCCGACCCGCCCGCCAGGGTCTACCCGCCCGATCTGCCCGCCGGGTTCTGCCACATGCTTTCTGCTCCTAGCCCCCCTCCTGCTAATCTCTCTCGTCTCCATCCTTCGTCCTCCCCCTTCCATCCGTCCTCTCTTCCCCTGTGGCTGCACTTACTGTACGTGGCAATTAAGGAAGAGATTCCAACCTGAAGGGGGCACGATCGAAGACGAGCTGGAACGTCACCGAGGGTTTGGGATACACGTGTTGAATGGCACACGCTTGGTTTTCTTAAAAACAACGCCCTGGGTGTTTGTTTAGCGTTTTCTAGTTTGGGTTCTTGACAGTCTGGAAACGCTAAAACTAAAACGCTACGTTTTTTTCCCCATCCATCCTGTGGTGTTGGGCCCTCGTTTTAAAGAGATGGTCCCCGCGTTCCCTCCCTCCTTCCCTCCCTCCTGCCTGCCTTCCTCCGCCCCCTCCTCCCTGCACCGCCCGCGTGCGTCACGCACGCCCACATCGCAAAAGCATGAGAAACCCGGGGCACCCTGGAGGCGAGCAGGGTGCTCCCTGGCATGGGCCCCCCCCGCTGTAGCCGGTGCGAGCAGTCCACCTGGCGCGGCCGCGGCGGGGCACGCCCGTCCTCGTCCTCCGAGCTGTCCGTGCAGTCCGCCCAGCGCGGCCGCGGCGGGGACCCCTGCTCGAGCAGGGGGTTGACTGCGACACTGTTCAACCCCCACAACTGATTTGCTCGTCGAGTCTACGAAATGTGTCATGACAATCGACGTTCTGCGGACATTCTTCGTTTTTTTTGCTTGCGCACTCGACGAGACAATGACGTTGGGGGTGCATCAATTGTGTCGTCGATCCACTTGTGAGCGTTCTCTTATTCGGCGTTTCGACATTGGGCGGACGGGGGGAGGGGGAGGAGGTCTGGATCGGGACCTCTGCTGGATGCGACTGTTTGCAACAGTGTGCCCCATGAGGGAAAAACTCCACCTGCTCGAAACAGGCGCCCAAAACAGCCAGGATCCACTCCAGGGGGGGAGAGGGGGGGGGTGCGACGGCCCGCGCCGATCGGCAAAGCAATGAACAAGAAGACCATCACCTTCTCGACACTCGATCTGTATTTCTGCACCATCGACGAGCAACTTAAGTTGGGGGTGCATCAACTCTGCCGTCGATCCCCTGCTCGACCTGTGACGGCGGCGGCCACGCCGCGGAGGGCGCTGGCGCGGGGCAGCCTGGCGCGCCGCGGAGCGCGGCGGCCCGGGCGCGCGCGGAGGCGGCCCGCGGCTCGGCCGCCGCCGCCGCCGACGACGACTTCGCCTCGCACAGCCACCCAGACCTGTGCTGTTCCCATCGTGCTGAAGGGCCACATCCCCGAAATAATTTCGAGCACCCAGAGAAGTATCGAAGCAGTGTCGAACGAGTATCGCCTCCCAAGACCCGGCACGTGCAGGCCGTCCAATTCCGGTACTTTCTTCATGCTCGAAATTCTCTCTGGTAGTCAAATCCAGAATAGGTTGGAACATCATAAAACCAGACATGCTCGCGTCGCGAAAAACAAACATACTGCAAGGGGTGTTTTCACCGTTCTGGGGTATGAGTGCTAAGGGGGGCGGGTAACAAGGGGGGGGGGGGGGAGACATAGGTACTCACTTTCTGCCCCGGAAGGTCCCCTCTTGGGCTCCCTCAAGGGCCCCTCGAGCTCCAAAAGGCTCCCGCCTGGAGCCGTCGCTGCCCCCCTAAGTGAATCGCCCCCTCCCTTACGCGTCCTCCGACGTCTTCTTCCAGGGGCCCTCGCCTGGCCCCGGGCCCGTCAAGAAGCGACTCGAGGCCCAGAAACCCGCGGCCCTGCGGAAAGGGCTGCGAGATGTTGGGACCCGGTATCGAAACCTCGAGACGTCAGATGTCTGGGCTTCGTCGGGCTGCAGAGGGAAGCGCTGAGCACGGGAGGATGGGGGCCTTTCTGCCACGGCGAGCCTTCGCCACGAGTTTCGGCTCCCTGACCCATATCTTAGCACGGGGGAAACGGGTCCTCAGGGAAACGGGTCCTGGACCATGGGGCCTTCCCATAGGACCAGGTCTGCATCCTGAGCCGTTCTCTGATAGTCCTGGGGCACGCGGAGGTCCCCCGAGAGCCCGAGAACGGCGACAAGCCTCAGGACCCGATTCCCTCAGGACCCGCTTCCCCCACGGCGATCCACCTCTCTTTTTCCCTGCCTCGCCGGCCTCGTGGGGGTTCTTTGGGGGACCCCTGGGGGCCTCGCGGGCACTCCCTGGGATCAACCAGAGAGGGCCACGCCCTGCGGCGCACGCGGCTGCACGAGGCTGGTCCCTTCCCCAGGGTACCCGTCGGTCGGAAGAAGCGGGTCGGAACCCGAAGTAGAAAGGCGCTGGAAGCAGATGGGGCTCCCGCACGCCCCCCGCAGAGGAGGGAAGAGGGACACCGCTCGACTCTTGAAGTAGGAAGACGGCGAAAGGAGACCGGGATCTGGAAATCCAGAAACACCTCCTTTCAACGACTGGCGTGCACGTGCTGCAAACCCCGTGTTGGCCCCTCCCCCGTGGCGAAGATCTGAAAACGACCCGAGATCTGGAGCCCGCAACTGAGCCAATAACTGGCCGCGGATGCGCTCGCTCATGCTGTGCTCCCGCTCCCTTAAATCCAGCCGAGCAGCTCCCTTTGAGTGCGGCTGCACTTGATCAAAGCCCTTCCCCGGGCTACGTGCTGGTGCTGGCCCCTCCCCCATGGCGGAGCTCTACGGAGCCCACAGAGGACGTGCGCGACCAACCGCGCACATGAGCAGGGTCCCCCAGTCCGCGAGACCAGCCGCGTGACACGAACGTTTGCGCAGTGCGTGCTCCCGAAACCAACGTGGATGCACGTACGTGTGCGGCAGGCTCGTGCCGCGTCGACCCCGGCTTTGGCTTCCGAGCCCGCGGGGGTCGTTCAAACCTTGAACGATCGGCCGTCGCCGCAGCGTCTGGCGCGGTGGCGCCGAATCCCTGCTGACTCACCGCGCGGTGTGATCACCGCACCGTCCGGAGGCCCCCGCGCACGCAAGGCGGGGAAGCAGAAGGATGCCGATACAGTCACTCCCCGGACCTCTCCCGGGGCGCGTTCTGGCGAGAACTTCGAGGCGCACCCTGCCGTGGCGACTGAGGGCTCCCCAGGGCGAGCGGCGGCGGCGTCGAGGTCCTCTTCCGCCGCGAGGGCGCGCCAGGGGGGAGGACTCCGAGGGGGGTGGGAACAAGACTACCTACCAGACCACCCCAACCCAACCCGAAGACCCGAACTTGACCCGAATTTCGGGTTGGGGGGGGTACGGGTTCCATGTGTTTTTTTCAACGTTCCCCGACCCTCCCACCACTGGAAATGGAGGGCAAATTAAGCCTTCGGGTTGGGTTGGGGTGGTTTGGTAGGTGGTGAGAACATCGACCTGACGGATCGGCGACAGGCCCCCGAGGAGGGGAGCCTCCCGCCGCCGCCGGATGGGCGCCCGTTGGCGGGGGGCCCGCCGCCGCCGATCCAGCGCGCGCCGCGGGCGCGAGCTCAGCCCGTCGCTGGCGCGACACGGACCGCCGCACGGCGCGCGCGACGGCTGCCTCCCGCGGGGTCGACCGGCCGGTCGGTCGTCGTCGTGGTGCGGTCGTCGTCGTCATCGTCGTCGTCGTCGGTCGGTCGGTCGGTCATTCATTCGTTCGTGCGTCGTCGTTCGCTGTCGGTCGTTCGTCGTCGTCGTCGTCGTCGTCACTCGCCGCCACCCACCGCTCGCCGCCGCCGCCGCTCGATTGATCACCGATCGATCGAGAGAGCCGCTGCTGGCCGCCGCCGCCGCCGTCGTCGTCACTGCGGCTGCCTCCGCCGCCAAACATCCGGCGGCTCGGCAAAAACGGGGGGCGGCACAATTTCGCACCCAAATCTCCGACGCGATGGTTGTTTCAATCCGGGCGTTTTTCTCCTCGATCTCAGCCCCTTTTGCCAGGCCATGGGGCCATCATAACTGGATCCGGTACGAAAAACTACCCCAGGGGAAACGGTCGGGACTTCTGGGGTCGCTGATGGAGAATAATCCGCTGACCCCTTGGGGTCACGGCGTGTGAGATGCTTCCCCCTCCCCAAACCGCTCCCCCGGGAGCCTGGTCCAGCCGGTTAGCTCCTGCATCTAATCCTCCTCCTGCGCGTTCTCTTCTTTATTGGCCCAGTCGCGCACACGAGGTCACACCCCGGCCCCCAGGCCGCAGCGGCGCCAAAGGGAGAAAGAGGGTGGGAGGGCGGGACAAGCGGTCCCCGCTGTGACCCAAAAGGCTGCGGAGAAGACAAGGGAGCTGAGGGGGAAGTGAGACGGATGCATGCAAGTGCGGAGGGCTTTGGTTCATTGGCCAAGTCGCGCACGCGAGGTCACAAACCGGCCCCAATGCCAATGGAACGCGACAGGGGGTGGCCACGGTGCAGCGGGCAGGCGCGGCCACGTGGCCGCGCTCAATTCAAATCATCAATGACCCCTTGCGCGAGCAAGCCAGCTGCAACCTCTTCGCCCGACACGTACGGTCGCGCGGACGTGACAGAACGCCAGCCGCCATGGCTTCGATTCCGGAGGCCGCAAAAACGTCGTTCGCAGCTCCGCGCCGGACATCGCGCCCAAACCACACTTCGGGGCTAGCGACCCCGATGGCTTGCAAGTGGCGTCGGAATTCGGCCGTCCACGTCGCAGGCGTATACCCGCCGAGCGGAGGGCTGCGATCGCATGGTCCCACACAGGAAGCCAAGTGTGCAAACAGATGCCCTCATCTGTGCCGCACAAGCAGAAAACATGAAGGGTGCACAGAAACACGCGCTGCTTTCGCCGGATGGGGCCATACATAACACGCCCCCCAGCGAACTGTGCAAGATCACGCTTGCACTGCGCGAACAACTCAGACGGCATCCGCAACACAAATTGTATGCCAAGACGGCGATGATGCGCCACCACTGTCGCTTGTGCGCCAGCGCATCGCGGAGCAAACGCCGCAAAAGCCGGCGATCAACCTTTTGCCTCGGCAATCTGGGCGTCGGGCACTTTGCGGTGCCGAGCCTGATGCCTTTCAACATGACATCTTGGTCACCCTGCCACGGCACGCCGGCTACCTGGTGAGCCAGGGCCCACGCGCTCAACCAACCACGCTGCGTTGACGCGCGCACACACAGCTGCGACGCGGCGTATGTGCTGCACACTGCACCCCAGCGGGGGCTCACCCAGGAACTCGGAAACCCATGCAACTATACGCAGATGCGACGCGTATGTAACTAGTGTAGACGGTACCGTTTTGCACAGAAACCAGCTCTCAACCACTGTGTCGGCCAGCCGGAGCAGGTCCGCACCTTGAGCACGAGCTTCGCTCATGGCCTGCAGCACCTCGCGGGGCGGGGCGCCATCTGGGTGCTTGAAGTAGCACCGCCTGTCGCGGCTCAGAGCCGTCATCATGTCGACGTTCCGTCTGGCGGCAGCACTGCGCAAACTGTCCACCACGCCCCAATACGTCGACCAGGGACCCCCAAGCGGTCCACCCTGTGACCCAAAAGGCTGCGGAGAAGACAAGGGAGCAGAGGGGGAAGTGAGACGAATGCATGCAAGTGCGGAGAGAGGGGGCAGAGAGATTAACTACGCTTCACATTTGTGAATCCGCATTTGGAGAGGGGGGGAGGGGGGCAAATCCATCATCTGCACACTTGGAGAGGCCCCAAAACGGGCCAAAAAGGTCCCAACGGCCTCCACACGGCTCCATAAGTCCCCAAGGCGTTTGAAACAATATTACGGGGCACCCCAAGGAGGCCCTCCAGAAGCAAAAATCGTCCCATTTCCTTTGGAAAGCGTATATTTTCACCACATTCGCCCATTCGGTTTCCACGAGGCGCAGAACGGCTCAAGAAGCCTCCAATATCGACCCTCGCCAGCCCAAGAGGCTCCCAAAAAGGCTCCAAGACGGCGTCCGGGCGATCCACGAAGGCCCCAGGAACCATAGCGACGGCTTAGGAAAGCCGCAGGGCGGTTCCAAAAGGGCTCCAAAACGGGGCAAGAGGGCTCCCTTAGGCTGTCTGGACGGCCCACGCGGAGGACGATTCGGTCCAACCCGCCCGAGATCGCCGCCAGACGGCCCCATGGGTGTCCAAGACGTTCGAAAACGCGACCACGAGGCGCTCCAAGAAGGCCTCCCAAAGTAAAAACCGTCCCATTCCCTAGGTAAAACGTACATTTTCAGCACATGCGCTTCTTGGGCTTCCACGAGGCCCACAACGGCCCAGTAAACCTCCAAGATCGACCCTTGTCACAAGAAGGCTCCAAGATGGCTTCCGGGCGATCCACGAAGGCTCCAGAAACCATAGCAACGGCCCAGGAAAGCCGCAGGCAGGACAGTCCCAAGAGGGCTCCAAAACGTGTCTAGAGGGGCCTCACAGGCTGTCCGGGCAGGCCACGCGGGGGACGATTGCTGCCGCCCTAAGGGGTCGGCGGTGTGGCGTAAGCCAATGAATATGCTACAGGCGGATATCCGGGTGCAATGTCGGCCTCTGGGGGCCAATTCTGGACCCTGGGGCCGTCAAAGAAAGACTCTCGAGATGAGAAGGCGGCTCCAGGGATGTGGTCGAGAGATCTGGGGTGCCCTGTGTTGAAGAAATGAATCGCAAGATGTCTGGGTCGTCGTCAATGTCGTCGTCTTCGTCATCCGCATGTCTGGGTCGTTGCCGTGTGGGGAGGTGGAGCAGGAGGAATAGGCGGTCGGGGAAGGCGTTTCTTCGCCCTCCCCCTACCCGACATCCTCCTCACCCCCTCCTCCTCCACCCACCCACCTACCTGGAGGAGTAGGAAGAGGAACACGGATCGTGCTAAGTGCTATGTCTGTCTCTTCAGATGGAGGGCGGTGACGGCGCTGGACGTGGACTCTCGTGGTCATTGGCCTCCCCCTCTGAGCCACCCGAGCTACTGGCACTGTTGCAAATCTTCGCTTGCAGTCCTTCCACCCCTCCTCATCATCCGGGGAGGAGGACCCACATGTTTTTTCTCTCCAGAGGGCAGACAAATCACCCTCCTGAGGCGCGCCGCGATGAGCGAAGCCCTGCAGCAAACGCACAAGGCGGGGACCGACGCAGTGCAAGGCCGGTCCGTAAAAGCCGCGGGGCGCTCAGCCAGGCCAAAGCGCCAGAGGGTCGCGGAGGCCTCCTCCCTCCCCTGCCCTCTGGGCCTCGGGGGGCGTCCGGGGTGCCCTCACGGGGCTGGCGAGGAGACGGGTGGCGCGCAGAGTGTGGCAGTGAGGAGGCGGCGGGGCTCCTCCTCGGGAGGCGGCGGGGCTTCTTAGGAGAAGGCCCTCGGGCCCGCTCCCTCGGCCTTCCCCCCCCTGGGCCGCGCCGCCGACGAGGGCCCGCCGCGGCGGCGGCGGCGGGCGACGGGCGACCTGCCAACGGCGCGGCGAGCGACGACGGCCCTGCACGGCCCAGGCCCCCCGGCGCCGCGGTTGTCGCACGGCGCGGACCCCCAGAGGTCCGCGGTCCACTCTTCAAAGCCAGGCCTGCTGCAGACGAGTCCGCGGGGAGGCGCAAGAGAATCAGCCCGCAGAACGAGGGCGCACGGTAAGGATGCAAAGGGCCTTGGAAGTCCGTGCCGATCCTTTACGAGCGGGGTGCGGCCAGCAAAAGCGGCCTAGGATGGGCCGAATGGGAAGGATGCAAGGGTAACCTTGGAAGCATTGCTCATTCTTACTAGCAGCGTTGACTGTAGTGCTTGCGATATTACGGCGCCTGGATGCATCAATTTGCAAGCTGGATGCAGTAGTTGCGCGTGGATGAAGTTGTAGATTTATCCACACTCGCAGTAGTAGTCGCCCGTGCAATAGTTCGCGCGCCCCCGCTACAGTTGCGAACTATGGCGCGCAAAAGTATGCAATGAACGATCGGCCGCACCTCTCGACACACTCATCTGCGCCAGACCCAACGCTCCAGCTCAGACACCTTCTACGCCAAGCCCAGTACTCCAGCTTAGACGATTCCTTTCCCCCGGGACCAGCTTTTCATCCTGAGCCGTTTCTTGACGGCCCCGAGGCTCGGCAAGGGCACACACAAACTCTCCATCACGATTTTTTCACAACGCGAGGGGGTCTGAGGACGGCACGACGACTGGCGATGTCCTTGCCCTACCGCCAGCCCCAGCGGCGACGGGCGGGCATGGGCCAGACCAGGCGGCCCGTCGTTGCCATCGCCGCCGTAGACAACGTCGTTTACGTCTTCCTCATCGTCGGTGCCGTCCTCGTCGTTGGCGTCGGCGTCGGTATCGTCGTCGTCGTCGTCAGCGTCGTCGTCGTCGACGTCGTCGACGTCGTTATCCTCGTCGTCGTCGTCGACGTCGTCGACGTCGTTGTCCTCGTCGTCGTCCTCGTCGAAGTCGTCGTCGTCGTCGACGTCGTCGTCGTCGTCGTCGTCCTCGTCGCCGTCACCGTTGTTGACGACGGCGGCGACGTCGGCGGCGGCGGCGAGGCGAGCGGGAGTCGGCGGCGCCCTGGCGGCCCTCCACGGCGTCGCCGCGGAGAGGATCGCCAGCGACACCGCTGCGGCCGCGGCAGAGGCGACGTCCTCCGGGCGGTCGGCCTCGGCCTCGCGCGGGGCGGAGCGCGGCCGAGCCGCTCGAGGGGCTCGGGAGACGCCGGCGAGGGCGGCGGCCCCCCGTCCCGTCGGGCCCGACCAGGCGAGGGGCGACGCTGCAGTCGGCGTCGGAGCTGGGCCGAGGTCGGGCAGGTCGCCCTGCAGGCGAGTTGTGGAGGAGGAGAAGTAGAAGTAGTTCCGACACATACTCAACCACATAGATGCAACCAAGCACGAAGCATCGGCAAACAGACTATTGATTTGTTCTACCATTCTTGAATGTTCCTCCTGCAGAGGGACAAGCCCGGCTGAAAGCTGGGCCAGAAGAAGATCCCCCAAGAACATGGGGCCCTCCGTCGGTCAACCCGCACAGAACATCCGAGGGCACCCTCCCCCCAGGCTGCACAAGAACACCCAACACGCACGAGGATCACTAGGGCACCCCCCCCGAACCGACCTCGATCTTACACCTCGGTCCGACTGTAGCGTTGGGTGGTATTCGGGGATGGACAGACCTCCCTTTAGTAAAACGTGGTTTAGTGAAAACGACTTCGGGCCCACACCTGGCGGGCGCAAGCCTGGAAAATAACGGCCACGGCGCCCTCTCGAAAACCGAAAACGGACAACTCACTAATCGACGTGTCACTGTTGGGGGTTCTGTCCACCCCCGAGGTATAAGGGGGGACATTTGGACCTGGAATCGGCGATACATCGCTGATAGATCGGCGATTGGCGCCCGAAAGCGAATCCGCACGTTCCTGGGCGGGGTGCGGCCATCAGACCCCAATCGGCGATCACTGGGCGATTGGGGGTCGATGCACCCGTCCCCCCCCCGTGCCTATGTATCCTAGGGCAACTATCTTCGCTCTTCGCGCTCCGCAAAGCGCGATTTTCTTTGCGCTTTTGCGCCAGCCCCTCCGGAACAAGATGAGGGACTCGCGCCTCGCTCTGACATCGCCCAGACCTCGAAGCGCAACTCACTTCGCACCCTCGTGGTGGCCCCATGTCTATCCCCCCTATCGTTGCCGCCATGCGACCACACCCTGCTCGCCATCGCTCGGACGTCCAGCCCTCGTGCATTTGTTTGTCCGCAAGATGCTCCAAGATCCTGATTTCCCTGAGATCCGACGTATCGACACTACCCTGGCGACGCGCCCAATCCCTGCGCAGTGCGGGGCAGGAGTAGCTTGGGAGATTAGACGAGAAGGCGGCGACGTGACATGGACGCATATACTTCTGCGAGCGGCATTCGGAAGGTTCGCAGGTCCCCAATCAAGGAAAAAACGATGAGTAACCAAGTGAACCCCTGAGTCACTAAGGAAGACACAGTCAAAAAGGAGTCTGTGGGCAAGGGGCTTGAAACGTCGGCGGGGCAGCAACAACACGACATGGCCCACCCAGGGACGGCGAGGTCCCGCTCAGGTCCACGCAGTGCCTCACTCCGCTGGACCCACCAGCGGCCTTCGGAAGTGGCGAACCCACCAGCAGCCCTCGAAAGTGGCGACGGTTTCGCAGATCGCAGCCCCCAGGGACGGCGAGGTCTCGCTCAGGTCTGCGCGGTGCTTCACTCCGCTGGACCCACCAGCAGCCCTCGAAAGTGGCGACGGTTTCGCAGATCGCACTCCCCAGGGACGGCGAGGTCTCGCTCAGGTCTGCGCGGTGCCTCACTCCGCTGAACCCACCAGCAGCCCTCGAAAGTGGCGACGGTTTCGCAGATCGCAGTCCCCCAGGGACTGCGAAGTCTCGCTCAGGTCTGCGCGGCGCCTCACTCCGGCGGACCCACCAGCAGCCCTCGAAAGTGGCGACGGTTTCGCAGATTGCAGCCCCCCAGGGACGGCGAGGTCTCGCTCAGGTCTGCACCTCACTCCGGCGGACCCACCAGCAGCCCTCGAAAGTGGCGACGGTTTCGCAGATCGCAGCCCCCCAGGGACGGCGAGGTCTCGCTCAGGTCTGCGCGGCGCCTCACTCCGCTGGACCCACCAGCAGCCCTCGAAAGTGGTGACAGTGTCGCAGATCGCAGTCCCCAGGGACGGCGAGGTCTCGCGCGCGGTGCCTCACTCCGCTGGACCCACCAGCAGCCCTCGAAAGTGGCGAACCCACCAGCAGCCCTCGAAAGTGGCGACGGTTTTGCAGATCGCAGCCCCCCAGGGACGGCGAGGTCTCGCTCAGGTCTGCGCGGCGCCTCACTCCGCTGGACCCACCAGCAGCCCTCGAAAATGGTGACGGTTTCGCAGATCGCAGCCCCCCAAGGACGGCGGGTTCTCACTCAGGTCTGCGCGGTGCCTCACTCCGCCGGACCCACCAGCAGCCCTCGAACGTGGTGACGGTGTCGCAGGTCGCAGCCCCCCAGGCAAGGGGAGAGGAGACGAGAAGGAGGGGGGGCAGGAGGTGGGAGGCAGGGGGGGCGGGAGGACGCGACCGCGGTGCTCTATTCAGAACGAATACCCAACCAGGGAGGGTTGGGAACAATTGAGACATCGTGACACATCACGACTGGAGCCCTGGACCCCGTCGTTCGGCGCCATCTTTCGAGCCGGATCCATCTGCGAGGGCCCTGGGGCCCGAAACTGGGCGAACACGCCCGGCTCGACAAAGATTGAGTCGCCAGGAGGTCGGGGCCGATAGTGCACGCCGAGAAAAAGTGCACACGTCCGAGCGATGCCCAGCCTGCGACAACGCCGCCCCGCCAGGAGAGCCCAGAGTCGAATCGACGACTCGGATCGGCGACCGAAAGGAATCGGATCGGCGGAAACCGGCGGCCGAGTCGGGGAACGTAGAATCGGCAGACATCGGCAGGCTGGCAGGCCTCCCCCAAGAAACCGGATCCCGAAGCGAACTCCGACGTCGAGTCGCATCGGAATCGGCACCCATAGGAACCGCACAGCACGAAGCGAAGCGAGCCCTGCCCATCGGCACCCATCGGAGTCGCATCGAATCGGAATCGGAATCGGAGAAAAAACGAACCGAGCCCTGCCCCGCGCGCCTCGCCAGAGCCGGCCTCCGCTGCCGCAGCGCCGCCGCTGGCGGCCGCGGCGGGGCGCCCGCGGCCGCCGCCCGCCGCTGCGCCGGCGCGGGGAGGCGCCACCCTGCGCGGGGGATCTTCGGCGACGGCGGCGGCGTCGTCGTCGTCGGCGGCGTCCTCGGCGTCGTCCTCGTCCTCGTCGTCGAAGTCGTCGGCGGGCGGCGGCGGCGGCGGCGGCGGCGGCGTCGTCGTCGTCGTCGGCGTCGTCGTCGTCGTCGAAGTCGGCGGCGACGTTTTTGACAGCGACTGCGACGGGCGGCGCCAGCGGAGACGGCAGAGACGGCGGCGGACCCTGAGATCCTGGCGTCTCATTTTTTTTCGAGCCCGGTGTTTTCGCCCAATTTCGGGCCCAGGGACCCGCACAGATGGATCTGGCCCTAAAGATAGCGCAGAAAGATGGGCTCTAGGGATCGGGGCGCGACTTTTTTAATATGTTGCAATTTTTCGCTACGTCGGATCTCAGGGGAGGCGGCCGCGGTGACGACAACAACGAAGGCGACGGCGGCGGCGGAGACGGTGTCGACGACGGCGGCGGCACCCACGGCGCCCTGCGGGGGCGGCGACGTCGACGTTACACTTGGGGTTTCTTGCCGCGCGGCGGTGTGGTCGCTTCAGAGCTCCCTCCCTGATAGCGTGTCGCTTCGAGGGCTCTAATGCTGCAAAAGAAAACCGCAACAGAGCCCCACAGGAGGGACGAGGAGCCCGAGCCAGCCTGGTCTGGCAGCTGGCCCAGCAGCCGTTCGCCTGAGGCTTCCTCACATCGTATTCAGGAAACGTGCTCTCGCATCAATGCCGGCTAAATTGTTGGTCCAGATGGCCACGACCCCTGGTCAAAAACGCACTGAGGTGCACATGGCCGTGCTCTCACCACTGTCACTAGCCGACCTCCTAGTCCTCGACCCGTCTCTTCACCTTTGCTGCTACCTGGGTGTTTTGCTGGGGTAATCGGGGCATTGCTCTCGGCACGGCTGGGAGCGGCTCGGAGAACTGGCCGCGCTCCCCAAGGGATGGGTGTCAGATGTCTCGAGCGGGTTTTGGTCAGTGGATGAAGGCGATGGCGACTGAGACGGCGGCGGCGGGAACGCCGACGACGAAGAGGACGGTGACAACGATAAGGACGGCGAGGAGGACGACGGGGGAGAGGGAGGGAGAGGGCGACGAGAACGAGCGGGAGAGGAGGGAAGCCCGTTCGTCTGACCCTCCTCCTTCCCTCCGACCCCCCCAGGAGAGAGGGGCATGAGGATGACCAGAGAGGAAGGGGAAGGGGGGGAGCGAGAGACCAGGTACGTAGGTATAGGATGGGAGGGGGGACGAGGGACATGGCATCCTCAACCACATCGTTCAAATCTGTTCTCTTCTCTCTCTCAATCCTCGTCCAGTCGTGCACTTCCCCCTGTCCAGGGGCCCGCCTGGGGCCAATTCAGGACCTGCCTGGCGCTCCTGCTGCAACAGCATGCACGCACGTAATTATCCGATGGCCCCCGAACTTGTTCCGCAACCGGTCCCTGGACTACTACGAGACATGTCTCTGACTTCCCACTGGGCCGCTGGGACTCTCACGGAGATGCCTGGCTTAGCATTTACCTGGCGCGATGAACTGAGCACCACGAGATCGCACTCGAGAGAATTGCAAGGGATGGCGAGGACACCCCCAACCTCTCCAAAGTAAGCACGACAGATACAAAGAACCTCTGCGAACCACAAACGCGGACGACGAATGCCTCAAAGACAGAAAGACAGCGAGGGGCGGAGGCGGACTCGGGAGGCCCAAGACGGGCAAACAACGCACACGAAACCTCGACGCTCCGCCGCGCCCTCCCTCTCCTCGGCCCCCCCCCCGACCTTAGGCCCCCGGACCGCTCGAACCCGTCCCCCGGGGCCAGCTGCTCATCCCCAGTCGGTCTTTGACAGCGCCCGGCCTGGCGAGGGCCGAGGCAAACGAGCGCCAGTCGTGACTCTGTTCGCGACGCGAACAGCGTCTGGAAGTGGT